CACCTATCAGATTGGCTAATATGACAGAAAAGGAAAATTATGAATGTTGGAGAGGACGTGGGAAAACTGGGACACTAATGTACTGTTGGTGGAGCTGTGAACTGATCTAACCATTCTGCAAAGTAATCTGGAACTATGTGCAAAGGGCTATAAAGTTCTGCATATCTTTGGATTCAGTAATACCACTGCTAGGTCTATATCCTGAAGATATCCCCAAAAAACAAAAACCCGAAAAGGACCCTATCTGTACAAAAATATTTATAGCAACTCTTTTTGTGGTGGCTGAGAATTGGAAATTGAAGTGATGTCCATCAATTGGGGAATGGCTAAACAAGGTGTAGTATATGATTTTGATGGAATACTATTGTGCTATAAGAAATGACAAGCAGGATGATTTCATAAAAACCTGGAAAGACTTACATGAACTGACACAATGTGAAGTGAACAGAACCAGGAGAACATTGTACACAGTAACAGCAACACTGTATGAAGAAGAACTATAAATGACTTAGCTATTCTCAGCAATACAATGATCTAAGACAATCCCAAAGCACTAATGATGAAGCATACCATCTGCTTCCAGAGAAAGAACTGATACTGTCTGAAGCATGCTATTTTTCACTTTCTTTCTTTTCATTGTTTTTCTTTTATTCAAATTTTCTTGTACAAAATATCTAATACAGAAATGTTTTACAAGATTGCACATGTATAACCTTTATCTGATTGCTTACCTTTTCAGGGAGGGGGAAGGAAGGAAGGAGAAACAGAATTTGGAATTCAAAACTTTAAAAAAATGTTAAATTACTTTAACATGTAATTAGGAGGGAAAAACTAAATATATACTTTTTTAATCTGGTACTAGATAAGAAAAGGGCAGATAGGTGGTACAGTGGATAGCGTGCCAAGCCTGGAGTCAGAAAGACTCATCTTTGTGAGTTCAAAGCCAGTCTCAGATACTTATTATCTGTGTGAACCTGGGCAAGTCACTTAACCCTGTTCGCCTCAGTTTCCTCATCTGTCAAATGAGCTGGTGAAGGAAATGGCAAACCACTCCAGTATCTTTGCCAAGAAAACTCCAAATGGGGTCATGAAGAGGCAGACATGACTGAACAATTGGATAAGAAATTGAGAGGTTGATCAATGAAACAGATTAGGCACACAATCAATATTCAGAAGCAAATGAACACAGTAACCCAGTGTTTGATAAACCTAAAGATCCCAGCTACTGGGGCAAGAACTCAATTTGACAAGAGTTGCTGGGAAAACTGGAAAGTAGTCTGGCAGAAACTATGCACAGAACAATATGTCACAACATGTACCAAGATAAGTTCAAAATGCGTACATGACTTAAACATACAAGGTGATTATCCTAAGAAGTTAGGGAAGCATGGAAAAAAATTACTTGTCAGATCTATGGAAAAAGAGAAGAATGCATGACCAAACAAGAGATAAAGAGGATCAAAGAAGGTAAAATGGGTAATTATGATTACATTAAATTAAAAAGGGTTTACACAAACAAAACCAGCACAGCCAGTATCAGAAAGAAAGCAAGAAATTGGGGGGAAATTTTATAGCAAGTTTCTCTGAAAAGGTTTCATTTCTCAAATATATGGAGAACTGACCCAAATTTACAAAAAACAAGAGCCATTTCCCAATTGATAAATGGCCAAAAGATACGAACAGGCAGTTTTCAAAGGTAGAAATAAAAACTATCAATAGTCATATAAAAATGCTATAAATATTAAAGAAATAAATGCAAATTAAAACAACTCTGAAGTACCACCTCCCACCCATCAGATTGGCTAAGAAAACAGTAAAGGAAAACAATAGATTCTGGAAGGAATATGGAAAAATGGGGACACTAATGCACTGGTAGAGCTGTGAACTAATCCAATCATTCTAGAGAGCAATTTGGAATTGTGTCCAAAGGGCTATAAAATTGTGCATATCCTTTGACCCAGCAATTTTGCTACAAGGGCTATATCCCAAACGAGACATAAAAATAAAAAAGGAAAAGGAAAAGGAAAAGGACCTATCTGTACAAAAATATTTATAGCAGCCCTTTTTGTGGTGGCAAAGAACTGGAAACTGAGGAATGACTGAATAAATTATGGCATATGAATGTAATGGAATACTATTGCATTGTAAGAGATGATGATGAGAAAGGTTTTAGAGAAACTTAGGAAGAATTATATGAACTAACATGACATGAAGTAAACAGAAGCAAGAGAACGTAGTACACTGCAACGAAAATGTTGTAAAGATAATCAACTGTGAAATAGCTACTCTGATCAATACAATGATCCATGACAATTCCAAAGGACTCATGATGAAACATGCTATCCAGTTCCAGTAGACAACTGATGGACTCAGTGTCCAGACTGAAGCATATTTTCTTTTTTCCTCTTATTTTTCTGGAGCATGGCTAATGTGGAAATGTGTTTTACATGAGTTTATATATGTAGTGGGTATTTTATTTCTTGCCTTCTCAATGGGTGGTGGAGAGGCTGGAAGAAGAGAGAGAATTTGGAACTAATATTAAAAGTAAGATTAAAAAAGAAAAGAAAATCTTCCACACAAACAAAATCAATGCTGTTCAAATTAAGAGGAAAATAGTTTAACTGGGAAAAAATCTTTAGAATAAGTTTTTCTGATAAAGATTTGATATTCAAATACAAAGGAAAGTGATTCAAGTATACAAAATCAAAAGCCACTTCCTAATAGATAAATGGTCAAAAGATATGAACAGACAGTTCTCAAGGGAAGAATTCTAAGCTACCAACAAGCACATGAAAAAATGCTCCAAATCACTAAAAGATAAAATGCAAATTAAAGCAACTCTAAGATTCTTTTCACACCCATCAGATTAGCAAAGATGACAAAACAAGAAAATTGTTGTGGAGCTGTCAGAGGACAGGCATAATAATGCAATGCTGTTGGAATTATGAATTGGTCCTGCCATTCTGCAAAGCAATTTGGAATTATCCCCAAAATGTCATTAAACTATGTATACTCCTTGACTTACTGGTACCACTATTGGACATGTACCCCAAAAGAGATCAAAGAAAGTAGAAAAGGACTTAATATGTGCAAATATCTATCTATCTATCTATCTATTTATTTTTATATATATATATATATTTATTTATTTATAGTAGATCTTTCTGTTGTAGCGAAGAACTAGAAATAAAGTAGAATATTCATCTGTTGGGGAATGGCTGAAGAAATCATTGTACATGAATTAATAGATATTATTACACCATAAGAAATGACAAAAAGAATGGATTCAGAGAAACCTGGAAAGACTTGTATGAACTGATGCAGAGGGGGGCAAAACCAGAATAATTTATACAGTGATTACAACATTACAATGAAAAAACCTTCAAAGATTTAAGAACTCTGATCAATATAACAATGACCAACAATTAACTCAGAACATAAATGATGAAGCATGCTAATAACTTCTTGAAAGAGATGATACATTCATGATGCAGAAAGACACATTTTTAGATATGACCAATATATGAATATGTTTTACTCGACTATGTTTATTTGTAACAAGGAAAGGTTGTTTTTTTCTTTTGTTTTGTCTTCTGAGGAGAAGGAGAAGGATTTGGGAAAAAGAGAGGCTAGTAATTCTGATACCAAAAAAGAAAAGAAGATAAGGAAGAAAAAAGGATCCCTGAAGTATTTTGAAAGAATTGGGGCATCTAGGTGGCACAGTGGATAGAGAACTGGCCCTGGAGTCAGGAGGACCTGACTTCAAATTTGGCCTCAGACACATAACACTCACTAGCTGTGTGACTCTGGGCATGTCACTTAACCCCAATTGCCTCACAAAAAAAAAAAGGAAGAATTCATACTTTTTCAATGAAATTACTCTCTCCAATGAAGTAGACCCCAACCCATCCATGCCTGCCCATTATGTGCAACTTTTGCCTATGTATTCCCAAAAGTTTGCCACATGCAGGTCTACTTAACATGCAGAAGGCCTTCTTTGCTTTCTCTAGACCTTGAGATATACTCTAATTATCCAACTTTCATCCCTTGTTCTTGCCATATGACCTATCCATTTTCTCTACCATACAATTCCTCAATGAATTCTTTTCTTCCTACTCTTTGAAGCCCTTCATTGGTTTTACGTTGCAGCCTGCTCACATTACCATGTGCCTCTCCACTGCCCACTGTGTGATACTAATTTTTAGTTCCTTGGAAGCAGTGATTTTCTATATATCCACACGGGTAAAGTGTTAATACTAAAAAGATGGGCCTTAACTTTCATCAGAATCTTGGAATCAGTAAAAGAGCTTTGTAATTTCTTGAAAATAATACAGCCCACTCTCCTCCTCCAGTTCTAGGTCCAACTCTTTATCCATCTGTATCATCTTTCCTTAATAATACATACTGCTGGAAAAGCTCTAAAGGGTGTCAGTCCAAATGCATATTGAAATCTGGGCAACAAATGTTCTTCATCCACTTGGCTTTCTTATGTGGATGGACTGGCCAAACTGCTTTGAGTGATTACAAGAGCCAGGAGGCTCTGCGCCTCAATTTAATCAGCATGATGTCATTCACAAACAGTAGCATCTGGAGGACCTCACTCTCCACAAGAAATCCTTCTTTGACCTAGACTCTGCACTAGATTTCCACTGCAGTAGTAAATACCACTGTTATCAAGTATATATAAATGAAATAAGAATCAAGTGAGAACAGAGCTATTCATGCTGGCCTAACAGAGAGAAATCAGCACTAAAATGAAGTTAAGTGAAAGAGAAACTTAACAAAGAAATATCCTAATAGAAATCTAAATACGAGAAGAAAAAGAAAGTAATGACAAGCTGTTGGCTAGAGATTATTTAAAACAGGCCAAACCCCAAAGAGTATTTGTTTAATAGGAGCTAACTGTACTGGATACAGGTAGAGACAAGTATGCCCATGGATAAGTCTTGGTTATGACAGAAACACAGATCCTCTATAAATCAAATTACTCACCTCAATGCTTGAGGAATCTCAATAGGCTTTGGCTTCACATCTACCAGATAGAAGGTACGGGACAACAACAACAGAGAAGGAGGGACATTCTCTTTCAGATGCAGGTCCTGCCACTGAAGGATGGGAAAGGAATGAAAAAATAGAAAGAGCTCTGAAAAGGGCCCAAGGAAGCTGTTCCTTCCCTCTATAAGCTTCTCTTTCAGCTGTTCAAAGAACCCAGTGACCTGCTCATTCCTAAGGCCTTACAGGCACTTTGTATTTCTGATATGCTAAGGTCCTTCATTCCTTCTTTAGCAATCACAAAATTAACTGTGAAAACCTTAGAGATCTAGTTAAAACCATTCATTTTACAAGTGTGGAAAATGAAACTTAAGAGAGGCTAAATAACTTCACACAGATAGTTAAGTGATGATAAAACCAAAGTTAGAATCCAAGTCACTTGAATCCCACAGTCTATGTTCTTTGCAACACATCAGGCTACCTCTCTAACTAGTGGAATAAAAGAAGTTACTAATGTGGCAGGTGAAAAATGAAATAACTGAGGAAACAAAGGCTCAAGCTTCTGAGCCTATCAATTTATTAAGCAATGCATGTCAACTGCTCAACAAATAGAGACCAGTAGCCTTCCTCAGCTTTGGCACTGATTTCCAATTGGAGAAAAGATTAGGGACTTTCTAAATTGGGAAGGGGAGAGTAAACAGGTACAATTTTCTGAAATTAAAAAAAAAAAGAGCTGTCCCACCCTCCAAACAATCAAAGGAACATGGAAACAATAACTGATTGATCAGCATAGAGCCAGTTTTCAGATAAGACATATGGGTTGCTTAAGATACATAATTGTGAGAAAATTTGCATCAATCTTAGGATCTAACTGGGTTTCTGGTCAGCATCACCTAGGTCTTTAGTTAAGGGTCTCTAAGCAGCAGGTAGAGGTGGTCCAGCGTTCCAGCCACACGGGGATAGATTCAAACAATGCAACAAAGTCCTCTCACAATTTCCACAATTGAATAGTTTAGAACTAGACCCATAATTGAATAGAAAACTGTGCTAGCTCCAGATGAGATTCACAAGATGGAGTCAGTGTGGTGCATTCAATTCCCACCACCACTTGCTGCTCCAATCCCCTCAATTCCCTCACTAAGAAAGGCACTGTCAGAACAAGACTGCAAATGGTCATAATCTAAGGTTCCTTCAACCTCTCAAAGCACTGAATAAATACTTCATTTTTTTAATGGCTATTTATTACTGTTTTTTATTTATTTATTTATTTTGATTTTTTTTTTCCACATGCTTTTGAGTTGAAAATTTTTTCTCCCTTTTTCTCCCCCCCACCCTCCCCAAGACGGCACACAATCTGACATAGGCTTTACATTTACATACCCATTAAACATATTTTCACATTAGTGAAGTTGTAAGTAAAAATTAAAACCAATAGGAAGAACCACCAGAAAGATGTAACGAAACTCAACTGAAGGTAAAAATAAGTGAGAGCGATTTGACTTCCATAGTTCTTTCTTTGGATGTGGATAGCATTTTCCATACCGAGGCCTCTGGAGATGTCTTAGATCCTCGTAATGCTGAGAAGAGTTCAGTTTAACATTCTTAGTCATTGCATAACGTGGCTGCTATTGTATACAAAGTCCTCTTGGTTCTGCTCACTTCACTCAGCATCAGACCATATAAGTCTTCCCAGGTTTTTCTGAAGTCAGCCTGTTCATCATTTCTTATAGCACAACAGTTGAATAAATACTTTAAAATGTGATCAGCAGATCTGCTTATCACCTAAAAAAGGAATGAGCTACTGGTGCTAGGTAAGTTCAGGGAGGCAGACTCTGAAAGCAATCTGCCCTGGATATGGGTTAAAAATTGAAAAATGACAACTGTCTCTATGTCCCAGTGCTACTATCAGTACCCTTCTATATGTCGTTTTGATACTATAGCCAGGGCTGGCCCTAAAGAAAGGAAGCCATGCTAGTATAATAAATCAATAAACACTTGTTAAGTGCCTCATACATGCCAGACTTTATTCTAGGTGCTAAAGATACAAAGACAAAAGTAAAAAAGCTTTCAGGGAGCTTATATTTTATCCAAGGAGACACATATATCTAGTTACAGATAAAATAGATACAAAGTGATTTTCAGAGAAAGAGCAACAACAGCTGGGGAGATCTAGAAAGGCTTCATGTAGAAGATGGTACTTGAGCCTAGCCTTAAAGGAAATCCCATAGGAATTTTAAGTAATAGAGGGGAAGGGGGAAAATATATTACAGGTGTGGGGGGGTGGCCAATGTACAGAGACAAGAACAAGCACTGTTTGTAAGGAAGAGTAAAGAAGGGCAAGTTGGCTGGATCATAGGGATAATGTGTAATAAGGTTAGAAAAGTGGATTGGGGCCAAGTTGTAATGAGCTTTCAATGCTAAACAGAAGAGTTTACATTTGCTTCTAAGTCACAGGGAGCCATTGGAATTTACTGAGTAAAAGTATACAATATGCTTAGGCCTTCACTTAAGAAAATTCACTTTGGTGGTCCCTTTTCCCTCCTCCACCAAATTCTATAGACTAAGAGGGTCTGCTGAAGTTACTAAAATTCTCATTAATCAGGAATAATGGATCAAGTAAAGACTTTAGCTTAAGCCCCTGGGTTAAAGTGCAAATATGCTACACATAGATGGGCTTCCTCACATTGCAGATTTTGTCTCTTCTTCTAATCAAGCTGGAGGATATCCTGACTTTCCAGATGTCCTACTGCAAACCAACTGCTTCTTAGTGGGGAATTGAAATAATTGGAAATGTAATTAGTTTGAAAATTGAAGCTTACGATACAGTGGGAAAAGTTCTGGCTTTCAAGTAGTACCTGGGTTGAAATAATACCTCTGATACTTACTGTATGTGAGAGCTTGGGTAAGTCATTTAACATCCTAGGTCCTCAGTTTCCTCATGTGTAAAATGAGGGGTTCACACTAGATGGCCCCTGAGGTCACCTTTCAGCTCTAAAGTTACAATCCTATGATGCAAGGGCAGCCACACCTGTAACTATACAATGAGGAACCTCTGAAAAGAGCCCAAGGAAGCGGCTACTTGCCTGTGTGAGCTGTTCTCTCAATTGCTTCTCAGTGAGCCCCAGTGACCTCATCCCTCGGGCTCTACAAGCACTCTGCAGTTCAGATACGCTCAGGGAATTCACCCCCTCTTTGGCAATTACCTAAAAAGAACAGAAGGGTTAACAGAAGTCCTTGAGTTCCAAGCTCACCTAAGCAGAACTGTCCAGAGGGTATGACAAATAGGGTTATTGCCCCCAAGCTTGTAGTTTGTGGGAGCGATTGCAGTCATCAAGAAAATTGTAGTGGTAGATGGGGGGGGTAAGATAAGGGGAAAGGAGTGTCCTCCCTTTCCCCAGGATATTAAAAGGAACTGAGGCATTCAAATGAATCCATCACCAAGTTAAAAATTCCCCTCTCCTCAGACAGTACTTGAGGTAGTATGGTGCCTTCTGATGACACCCCTTTGCCTTTTTGGCTCTCCAGGGCTGTTCTTGATGTTTAGTTTCATCTGGGAGAAGGTATTTACCCATAATCTGGCATCTAAACTTCAGAACTAACCTCAAACAAGATTTGACATGTACTCCCTTAGTGCAAATGATGGTTTTGACAAATCACTGCTCATATGGTGAAACTAAGGAGAAGCTGTGCTGGGGAGATCCTTGGTATTTCTAGGAAACCTGCCCCTTCTGATCACCTTTCTTTTAGAGCATTATCAACATTTCTTACATCTTTTTTAAGTAGCCTGCCTGGTTCTTGTAACCAAGGCAGTGTCTTCCCCAGCGTTTTGGTTTTTATCCCCCTAAAACAACCAAACTGTGCTCAGTCACTCTTCCTGTGGTACCAAATCCACTAGCAGAAAACAGATTTGGTTAACAGCAGCATGGCAGGAGAAGAGTGAGGTGGCGAATTTTCCCTGTCAGTGTGATATCAGGATCCCACTTCCCATTCCTACAAGTAGGCCCCTACCAGCTCTAAGTTAGTCTTAGCTAAGATAATGGAATTAGTGACAGCTTGACATACCCTTTAGAGAGAGTTCAGGGAGGGGCAGCTAGGTGGCACAGTGGATGGAGCACTGGTCCTGGAGTCTGGAGGACCTAAGTTCAAATCTGGCCTCAGACACTTCACACTAGCTGTAGCACCCAGGCAAGTCACTTAACCCTAACTGCTTCACAAGAAAAAAAGAGAGAGAGAGAGAGAGAGAGAGAGAGAGAGAGAGAGAGAGAGAGAGAGAGAGAGAGAGAGAGAGAAAATAACAAGTAGCTAATGATTTTAAGTGAGAGTCAAAGGAGTGACTGGGTCCAGGGGGAAGGTGGGGGAGGAGGTTCTTCATCCACCTTGGCAGAAAACCTGCTATTAAATGAGCACTTGATGCAAATACTTCATTACTAGGCTAGCCCAAGATAAAGAAAATTCTTTGCTAACTCCCTGAAACTACAGTTAGGCTCTTACTTCATCATCTGCTTTTATAGACTTCAGTTTCATCAGAAGCTGAAAGCGGAGCAGGTTGTTGGTTCCAAGGGTCTGAAGTTCTAGAAGTTTACACAGAGCAACCAACTGGGGTCGGTCTAAATGTTCCAGAGTTAGGTCATACTCAAATAGTTTGGAAAACTGAACAATCTCCTTTGTGCTAGGTGTATGACCTGTCTGGACCTAGGCAATGGAAAAAAGGAGGCATTAAAATGTGCTTACTACTTATTTGAGCTTCCCCCAGAGTACCCTCTGTTTTAATGTCATATTTTCTAGGAGAATCTCCAAAGCACTTACTGATAGTATCTGACGGCGTTATGCTCATTTTACAAATTAAACCCCACCACCCCACCAACAGGCAGAAAGAAGTAAATAAACTTGCCTGAGATTAGTGGAAGAATCATGAGTAAACCTCAAGTTCATTTCTGTTCTATTCATAAATCTAAAAACTTTTATGAATATTGTCTGGCATATAGGTCACATAAATACTGACATTTCTGTTATTGAGTGAAAGATACCACAGACTGTATTATGTTATAAAGGGGAAACATATACTATTTCATATGCTAAGGCAGGTTTATTAAAGATCTATTAACCTAGCTTATTTATTTTTGCTGCACTCTGGAATGTATTCATTAGCATACCAAATGATGACCAATAAATTTCATTTGTTCATATGAATATGTATACATATATTTCTTTCACTTGATCATACTCATATTATCTGTGTATCCACCACCGTTTTCATATCCCTTCCCACCTGAAGTTATTTGTGTAAAAGGCTGACACCTGTTTTACATAGGATGAAAACTGTGTAGAGGCATCTCCTAATTTGGAGCCTTTTCCCAACTTGGTTCTGCTCCTCCTTGCCATCTCTGTAACAGTTTCTTGGAGAAATTTTGCTAGTTCCAACTTTGCTGCCATTTTCTTTTTCTGTTTTTCTTCCTTAATGGTAGAAAAGGGAAAGAAAATAAATTAATCTTTTCTCTTTTGAGTCTTAACAAACAAGGCTGGGATAACAGGGATTATCAGTTCTAACTGGTCACTGCTACTTCCAACTTAATATATTCGTTTTTTAGAAGTTTAATTTAAAAAGCTATTAGGGAGAACCAGTTCAGACAAAAGGTAAAACTTCATTTTATAATTTGTCACTTTAGTCTTACAACTTTATTTCTATCTTTATTCATTAAGTAATAGTTGAAATGTATAACCCAGGGGTGGGGAACCTGTGGCCTTGAGGCCACATGTGGCCACCTAGGTCCTCAAGTGTGGTTTTTACAGTTTGGATTCTGTCAAAGGGCTGCACTTGAGAACCTAGAGGGCCACATGCGGTGCCAAGGCCACAGGTTCTCCACCCCTGGTATAACCTATAGCAAATTGCCTGCCATCTTAGAGAGGGAGGAGAGGAGATAGGGAGGAAGAAAAATTTGGAACTCAAAATCTTATAAAAAATAAATGCTGAAAACTATTTTTACATGTAATTGGAAAAAACAAAATACTAAAAGTAGTTAATGCTCACCACTATGCCTATTAAGTCCAAAGGGCACCCTTAAATGAATGCCATGGGTTAGAATGAATTGTAATAGATGGAAATTATAGAGAATGATTTTAGTTCAATTTTATGAAAAACCTTTTAACAATGAGAGCTATTCTAAAGTACAGAGGACTATCTCATAAAGGACCACAAGTTCCTTCTTACTGAAGATATTTAAGTAGAAGCTCGAAAACCACTTGTTGAAGATACAATAGAAGGGAAACCTAAATATGTTGGGGTTCTTCCAATTCTGAGATGCCAGGATTCTGTTTAGCACAGAACTCATCAAGGCAATCATTAATACCTCTAAACCTGACAAAACCAATCAGGGTTTCTGTCGGACTAATCCCTTATAAGTCTTAGATTTGAATGTTTTACTTCCCACGTTGTAACCAAATACTGACGCTGACTGAACAGAGTAATGCTATGAGCATTTAACATAGAAAAGGGAATCCTAGAAAAGAAAAAATCTATGGCTCCTCAATTCATTCCTTAATATCTATATTCAGCTCTGAATATATATGGTTTCACTCCTTTTTAGTGGTTGGTTAGCTTTAAGGCTTAACTCAGAGTAACTATAACATTCTAAGTATGTATTATACAAATATGATAGGTGAGTGGCCTCAAAGGTCCCTTTCACCTCTAGATCCATGATCCTATGACTCTTCCAGGAATATGAAACAAATGTGGCTGGTGAGGCATTTCTTAGTGCAAAGGACTCTTGGGTCCTATGGAGCAGCAGCACATTCAGTTTTCTGGCCTCAAAAGAGAAAGCCCAGAGGAGTTCACAACAGAATCTGTCGACAGATTTTATCTGGAAAGTACAAGTACAAAAATGAGGGCAGAAAACCAGCCAGGAAGTAAGTGGAAGTGTAACGGAAGCTTAAGAGTTTACAAGCTGTATAAGAAAAAGGTGGCAATATGGAGAGACTGTCATTATTTATTAACCATATTTTTGGGCTGCTACTACCTAGGTTGAGGTTCATAGGCTCTGCATCCTTCAATTCAGGCTCAAAAGATGCAGCAACTTTGCTCCCCAAGGTTTTGTCTACTAGGAAAAGCACACTATTAATAAATTAAATGAAGGAAAGTGAATTAAATCTCCCCTCAACAAGCTTAATATTCTTTATCAATAGTGGATAGGCATCTTTAACACATCACTTAAACTACAGTAAGACTATGAATTGCAATAAATACTGGTTACGATCATAAAATATTTCCATGCTCTAATGCAAAAAAAAAAAAGATAAAGGATTTATTCCAGTTTGAATGATCTTTTAACTAGGTGGTTTTTTTTTAAACTTCAATTCAGTATATTAACATTATTTGAGTTGGTACTCAGTGAATAAGGTAGTTCATTCTAGTTTTGGTTTATGATTCCAGAGGTTTGTTCCTGGTAGACCAAAGATTTCTGGAGGATAGAATCAGATATGCCCTTCAGTTTAATCCTGAGCATTGTGCCTCAAAAATATAAAACTACTAACAATTCCTCACTCATCTCCTATTTCATATCCTCTCTTCCTATGAAAAAATTCTATATATTTATCATCTGAAACATATGGCTTTTGGTTTTATTGTCATTAGAAAACTGACAGGCCTAGATATTAAACTGGGTAATTTGTACAGTTACACAGTTATTTTCCCTTCTTCAAGTCAGGATGATTCTTTTAAAAGGTAAGATTTTACCTTGATTTTATAACAGAAAAGCAAGTCTGTTTCTAAGAAAATGAACTGGGGGCAACATTCATATCAATTACTTCTACAGCAGTTCCTTCAATTTTGCTATATCCCTGATATATTACTAGAAGCCTACATTATCCACAACAGATTATGATTCTATTACGGGACAATCCCCCTAAATGTCAGCAGGTATATGTATCAAGCTAGGTTCCCAAATAAATCTACAAGGAGACTTCACTTTCAACCTTCATGCAATCATTCCCAGAAAAGTCTACAACAAACACAATAAAGGCTCTCTCTTTTGATGGGTTCCCAATGAAAGATTCACCTGGCAACAGTTCAACCTATTCATTCTTTTAAATGACATAATAAAAGTCGAATGTTATTTTGTTTTTTAGGGGAAAAACAAGTTAAAGTACAGATATACACACCTTTTTGGATTCACTTTCAAAAGTTGATGGCAACATGTCTGGAAAGAGTTTCAGAAATACTGGTAACAGGAATTCCATGAAGGGCACAATTATGAACACGATAAATGGAACCAGGCGGAAGAGATCAGCACAAGTTCTCAGCAGCTAAAGAATTAAAAGCATATGTAATGTTCACTCTTTTAAGACATATCAGAAAGTTGCTTTGGGTTCCTAATGCATTAAAACCCAAGACAGATTTTCTGCTGCTGCTTCCAAAACAGACAGGATATTTCCCTTCCCTAAGGCTCTGTATGGATATTTATTATATACTGTCAAGGAAAACTTCTATATTAATCAAAACATGTTAATGGGATCTCAGTGCTTTCATCTGAGACAGAAACCTCTACTCTAATAATGCAGTGTGTTTCAATATTAGTTCTGAAAACATGTATATACTTGAGATACTACTAGGTTTGCACTTAGAAGGACAATTCTTATCTGAAGTCCTTCAACACCTTAGAAAGGTTGGAAAGCAAATGTACCTTTTCTTCAGCTAAATAGTTGGAAGCACAGGTTAAGTGACTTGCCCAAAGCTATACAGCAAGTCAGTAAAGAACTCAAGAGTCTTAGTCCTTTCTTTTCACTAGTAAAAAAAAAATCCCTTTGAAATTTTAACATGTTAGTTGTCCTCAAAATTTAGTTCTCAAATAGTTAGTTTCAACTTCACCCTTCCTCTTGCCTACCCTTCGTCTCTCTCGTCTGGTCAGCACCTGTCCATGTAATAGTCTCCATACCATCCTGGCAGCAACTTTGGTGTCGATCCAAAGCAAGTAAAATCCATTGTAATAATGTTTAAGTTCATCCACAATTTTTTGTCTCAAAGATTGCTTAACTTCCTCAGTCTTAATCCCTGTTTCTTTTGGGGTTTGGGGGCTTGCTGTTACTGATTTTTCCATAGTTTGTTTAGGTTTATCTGGGAAATCTTGAAGCCAGCATGTGGATATATGTAGTTTTCGTATTGCCTTAGTTTGTAAATAAGGTAGTTTGCTGCTTGATTGAATAGGATACAAGAATTTTTTGCTCCCATAGTTCTTCACATAGGTTTGATTTAAATGGGAGTCTGCCAGTTGAAGAAATGAAACTGATGGGGAATATCGAGGGTAGGTAGGGTGGACAAAAAGGTGAGGACCTCTAGAAAAAAAGGAACACTGCTGAGTTAAGCATATACTTTTACAAATTTAACAATTTTTTAAAGCTTGTATATTCTTTAGGCACAGTTTATTTTTCCACTTAAAATGAAATCAAGACTTTTAACCCCATAATTTCAGAATAAACAACATAAAATAACTGGTTATTATTCTAATTTGTGGCAGCATATTTTCATGCTAAATTAAACAATCCATCAGCAATGTGAATAAGAAATCAAATTTAACTTGAGTAAGAGAAACTGCTGATTGGGGAAAAAAATCTTCACATCAAATATTTCTGATAAGGGCCTGACTTTCAAAATATTATAGGGGATTTATACAAATATATAAGGATCATATAATTGTAGCTGGAAGGACCCATAGAAGTCATCTAGTTGAATCCCCTTACTTTATAGAAGAGGAAACTAGAGCCCAAAGAGATTATATGACTTGCCCAAAGTCACCTAGATAGTAAGTGATAGTACTGGGATTCAAACCCAGTTCCTTTGACTTCAAATCCAGCCCTCTTCCCTCGGCACCATGCTGAATAAAACTGAGATTCATCCCCAAATAAAAGGTCTTAAGTGACCAAGAGATATGAACAGTTTTCAAAAGAAATATAAATGATCAACAACTATGTGAAAACATGCTCCACACTAATAATAAGAAAAACGCACACTAAAATAACTCTAAGGCTTTAACCTCATGCCCATCAAATTGGCAAAGATTATAAAAGACAGAAGACCCAGAAGAAGACAAACACACAAACACACTACTAATGAACTATGAATATAGATCCAACCATTCTGGAAAACAATTTGGAACTATACCAGATAAAAGACTAAATTGTCTATACCTTTCGACCTACCATACTACTACTATGCACATACCCTAAGGAAGACAAAGACAATGGGAAAGGTACCATATATATAAAAATATTTATGGCAATACTTTATATGGTAGTAAAAAATGAGAAACAAATTGAGTGCTAATCAACTGAAGACTACATGAACAAATTATGGCATATGAATGGAATATTACTGAGCTGTAAGAAACAACACACATGAGAAATTCAGAGAAAGAGGAAGATTTGTATGATGATACAGAACAAAATAAGCAGAATCAAGATAACAATACATACTATGATCACAAAAATGTCAAGGATAACACTAAAGGACAAAAGAACTCATCATCAACCCAATGACCAACCTTGACTGCAAAAAAATGATAATAATATATACCTCCAACCTCTTAGTAAACAGGTGATGGACTACAAATGCATAATAAGGCATATTCGGTCAAGTATGGTCAGAGTATTCATTTTGCTTAACTATATTTCTTGGTTATAAGGGAGGTTTCTTTAAGGAAAATATTAAGAAATGACAACAATGTAGAAAAACAGAACTTTAAAAAAAAGATGTTAATGTATAAGTCCATTTCTAGGAATAAATTGCTATCATAGCAATTAAAAGCTCTGAAGATGACTGGTATTAATAGTAATATATTTTCCAACAGGAACCACATTCAAAAAGTTTTGCCATCTTATGACCCCACCAAAAAACAGGTAAAATTATAGTGTTGGTAGCTACTTTTCTAGTAATATAAACATTGTTTTAATGAAACACCTTGGTTTCTCTCTAGTGATTAACCAATCACACAAAAGCATTAATTACTTAGTATCACGCCAGGAACTTCCTCAAGTAATAAGCACCTACAGAATGCCCTTTACTTTAAGGTTCCTGGAGAGCTTTATGAACATGAATCAGAATAAGCCAAGACAGATGGTACATTCCAGCAATATATAACATCCCACATCTCAAGTTAGACTAATATATGTGGTTGCTTAAAAATAAAAATGAAACCAGTACCAGCAAAGAAACTTCTCATGTGATAGCCCATCTTTGCTGCTATTCTTTTTATAAGTACAAAATACTGAGAGGCAGCTCAGTTTAGTGCAAAGATTTCTATAGAGTAAGTGATTGGGTTTGAATTCTGGCTCTGACACTTGTTGGATGACTATGAGCAAGTCACTTAACCTTGCTGATACCCAACTTCCTCAACTGCAAAATAAGGATTGTTACGAAGAAAAAGATTGGTAAACCTTAAAGTGCCATAGAAATATGAAATGTTATAACTGGCCAATTCCCAGTAACCTAAAAATACCATGTAGCATTTGCTGTGTAACCACAAACATTAATTACAATTATATCACTGTAAGATCATTTACAACTATAGCACACCTATAATACATAAATCTTCATATAATATATAACAGAATGGTTAAAGCTTGAAAGGAGTTTACTGACCATCTAATCAAATTCTCTTGATTAGATATTTTTGAGCACTCATTTCAAAGGAATTAGAAAGCTTCATTTGAGTGATTTCAAGTAAATATGTGTCAATTTTCTAAAACATGAAAATATTGGGAAAATCCTACGAAATGGGGAAAAGCACTAACTACTGGGGTCTAGTCCTGGCTTTGCCACTAACTTACTATTTAACCTTGGACAGAATGCTTCATCTCAGAGCATAAGTATGTAAAATGGAACTCAAAGATCCCCAAATTTACACCCCACTCTTAAATTCCATAAAATATTTCCTCTAGAAAATAAGAAGTATGTCAATAGGGAGTAAAAATTTCCAGGTCTTACCTTGTTCTAGCAATAGCAAAGAGCACATTTCGGCCATAAAAAGCCATATTTATATTGGTTTCAACTGGTCAACAAAGGGACCTAGATAAAAGGAGTAGGATATGGTTTAGTATTTAAGAAGTCAACAATTACAAATTGATATTTAAATTAGCAACTATTGCAAAGCTAAAACTGTTTGCATATTCTTTTCAATGTTCCTATCATAAGTACACTTGTCTCTGGCCTTGACAGGGCTGTTTTTTGAGATACTAACAAAGCCTGGAGAAGGCAATTTTAGTGCAGCTGGAAAAGCACCAGGTTTATAGATTCACAAATCTAAGTTTAAGTCCCTGTTCTGCTACTATCTGTGTAACCTTAGAAAAGCCACTTAACCTCTAATGCTGTTTTCTCATCTGCAAAATCAGTTGATAGGATTGATAAACCTTAAATAAAAGGCTATATATATGTCAACTTTTATTACTTGAGACAATCATGATGATCTAGTGACCAACAATGTTTTGATTCCTTGTTAGTGGGCCTCCTGTATTAACTTGCTTGCTCAATTACCAAATTTCCCAAGTAGCTGAACAATGCACAGGTTTCCTGGTTGGCCATAAATATATACATAGAGTAAAATTCCCTGGATGTCAATTAAATTTAATAAATATTTATTAAATGCCTACTATGTGCACTGCGCTAAGCGCTGAATTTGTCATTTCAACCTTCTGCTCTGTAAATTACCCTTCCCCAATCATAGAAAATCAAAAGTGGCATTCTTTTTATTTATGCAGTATTAAAGATCTACACAGCTCTTTCCGGTACCTCAAAATAAAAAAGCCTAGTCTCCAATCCGGTGATTAGGCAGTTAAGGGAAACCAAGCCACAGTTTGTTGCATTTTAATTAATACAGCAGTTTTAATTAAGAATGCCTTGGACTACTGATTTTTTTTTTAACACCGGACTATCCCTGTATACACTCCCAGCAAGACCAGGGCTAGGAGTGCAGCCAGAGAATGAAATGTATCCCCTTTAAGAGCCACTTCTGGCTAGCATCCTTTCAACCCACGACTGGCAGCTTTCCACAGAGGTTCATTCAAATGCTCCTCTAAGATCAGAGTGAGCAAGGAGACATGAGGTCAGGAAGGTGATAACCCTCCGCTGGCAGAGGTGTGTGTGTTGCGGGGGAGGGCAAGTCACTTCCAAGGTTCTGGGGTCAATTAAGCTGCACAGGTGGTGGCAAGTCGTGCCCTGCATGTGAGGGAGGTAGGGAGGAGAAGGGAGTTGGGCTAGCTCAGGGGTGGGAACCTGAGGCCTCGAGGCCACTTGTGGCGCTCTGGGTCCTCAGGTGCGGCCATTTGACTGAATCTAAACTTCACAGAGCAAATTTGTTTGGGATTTGTTCTGTGGTTTGGATTAAGTCAAAGGCCTCGAGGCCGCAGGTTCCCCACCCCAGGGCTAGCTATTGCGGTTCCCCACTACGAGATGTGCAGCTATGGGGAGGGGAGCAGGAAGAGGATGGGGCACTTCATCCATCTTGCAGTTTAATCCGAGTGCTAGGTGGATTACCTCCGGTTGTGGCAGCCTCATGACTCTGGTGCAATGGATGTCCACAGCCCGTCAGAGGTGGGTGGGCGTGGTTCTGTGCGTGGGGTGGGCTCTGGGTTTTGCCGGGAGGGAAAGGACGAAGGCAGGGACCCACAGGCGTGGAGGGGTCGGGAGGCGTGTAAAATGGAGGTTTGAATTCACGGCTCAGAGGAGAGCGAGCGCAGCTGGCTGCAGGGCCGGAGTCAGAAGAGTCAGGCGAAGGCGAAGAGAGCTGGGCGCTAGCTTCGGGAAGAAAGGCGGGCGGGAGGGCGGGCCAAGGCCAGCCTCGGCGGAACCGCTCCGATCCCCTCACAGGCACAAACCCGCGGCCTTCCCCGCCCCGACCTCTTCCGCCCGGCCCTTCCGAACGGCTGCCTCACTCCGCCCACTGCCTTCCCAGCCCTCCCCGCGCTAGAGGGGCCTGAGGCCAGAGGCTACGCAACGATGCTTCGCCCGGACCGTCCCGCCTCCTCCGCCATCTGTATGGTTCTATCTCCACCTCTTCCCGAGGCCGTTGTGATGACTGACAGCTTCACGGACCAATGAGCACGCAGAGCCTCTAGCGGGTTAGGCCCCTAGCTCAGCTCATGTAGACGCCCAGGAGAGGAGTCTGGCCTAGTTCCCGCCCAGTGAATGATTTCCGGGACTGGACAGCTGAGGGGAGGTGCAGAGGGAGGGAGAGGAAGAGGGAGGTGTCAGGTGCATCAGGCTGTGAAGGCTTCAGGGTACTGCCAGTCTCCAGCCCTATCCAGTGGGAACGCTGGATGAATCCTGCCCCTCGCCGTACTGCTAGCGTAACTTACGCAAGTCGCCTTGGCAACCACCGTGGCGTCGGGCATGACATCACTTTTGTAAGTCTCATTCTTGGCTATTCAGACACATGAGGAAAAGTTCTTGTGTCCCCTTTCCAGGCTTCAGGCCTGTTCTTTAGAGAGGGCTTAATTCGAACCTTGAGTGCCTCTAAAAAAAGGTGTTTTGCAAGACTTTTGTGATAGTCCATGAAGCATCCACGTGCTCCCAGACAATTGCTTATTTATATCTGTACTCACTTCCATCCCTTGATAATCTTTAGACTCTAGGTGAGGGGTGGGGAACCTGCTCTAGATGCTATGGTCATTTCGACGAGGCACTGTCCACCCTTGAATCCTTTAGCCCCGCTTTCCCCCGATGTTTACAATCTACTGATCCTCAACCCAGTGTTGCTAGAGGTAATCATGAAATAGTGTTGATTAAATCCACCACAAATTCATGCTGACTGCAACTGAGCCTACAACCAGCGTCCTCACAAAGTTAACTGTCTCCTCCATTTATGCCCTTGATCGGGTCCATTGACTGATTCATTTATTCAATGGTCATTCATTAAGCACTGTGCTAAGCCTCAGATATACAAAGACAGAAAAGAATCACTCACTAAAGTCTTATTAATCAAAGAGAGCAGGTAGCATATATGCACTTTCTGCTGGGAGCCAGAAGACCAGGGTTTTAACTTACTTCTTAATGAGCCTCAATTTCTTCATTTGTAAAGTGGAAATGAAAACATCTATCCTGCCTCCTTTACAAAGTTTTTTTGTGAGGATATCATAAGATTTCATGGAGAAAATTCCACAAAATAACTTAAACAGCTGAAAAGTACCCCACAATGTTAGGCAATCATCATCATCATCATCACTACTACCATTTATGTAAACGATTTACATATATTATCTCACTTTACTCTCACAGCAACTCTGGAAGGTAGGTGATATTTTTATCTTTATTTTACAGGTGAAGAAACAAAGGCCCAGAGAGGTTAAATGATTTGCCTTGGGACACACAGATAGTGTTTGAATTCAGTACTTTCTGACTTAAGGCCTAGAGCTTTATATACTGTGCCACCTAGCTTTTATTAGCTTGATAATTACTGCAAGACACAACATTTTATTTAAATTATTTTTTACAGATATTGGGTTCTATTGAATATTTATTTTGAGCCTTGGCACTGAAATATCAACATTGACTGAATCAACAATACTTCACTCAGCACTCAGGTTTCTTTGTGCCTATAACAACCTGAATAGATAAATACCATTCCTACTTTCCAATCCCCTACTAACTTATAATTATGCAAACCAAATAGAATCATAAGATCTTGAAGCTGAAAGGAATTTCAGGACACGTCAAGAAATTTTCAGTACTTCCCAAATATACAAATTTCAGGATACAATATAAAAAGCACTTATATAAATCGTAGCCCTGAAGATGGTGTAATGGTAGCTTACCATTGTGTGGTACCTTTTAGTTATTCAAGTTATTGCATGGAATTCTCTTCATCTAACCTTAGCTTGAAGACCTCCAATAGTCCATTTCATTTGTCATACCTTTCATTAGTAGAAAATTATTTCTTATATCAAGTTGAATTATGTTTCTCTGCCATTTCCCTTCATTTCTTCTAGTTCTGCCTTCTAGAACCAAGTAAAACAAGTCTTAGGTTTTCTTTTTTCCAACTAAGCAACTCAAGTTCTCTCACCCAATTCTTGTATAGCATGGCTTCAAGTTCTAATACCATCCTAACTGCCTTCATCTAGACATGCTCCAGCTAGTCCACATACAGCCAAAAACAGAACATAATACTCCAGATATGGCCTGACCAAGCCAGAATACAATAACAGAGATATTTCCTTCCTTGTTCTGGATTAAATGTTCCCATTAATGCATCTTAAAAGTACCTTAGCATTTTTTGACTGTCACATCACACTGTTGACTCATACCGAGTTTGCAATTCACTATAAGGAGTTGGATTTGGGGATGGGAGGAGTTCATCTCCTTAAGGATTTTGCTTCATTCATAATAGTAGCTTGTAACTAGCATTTATATAATGCTTTAAAGTTTACAAATTTTGTGTGACTCCATCCTCACAACAAACATGAGAGGGAGATGCTATTATTATCCCCATTTGACAGTAGCAGAAACTGAGGCAAACAAGTTAGGTGATTTGCCCAGAGTCATGCAGCTAGTAAATGTCTAAGGCTAGATTTGAACTCAGGTCTTTCTGACTCCAGGTCCAATATTCTATCCACTGTACTACCTAGCTGCTCTATTCATCATTCTGTCTCTTTCATTTTAAGTTTCTCTCTGTCTACTCTCTCATTCTCTCTTGTCTACAGACATGATCAAAACTCTCCAATCTTAAGAAAACCTGCACTTGACCTTTCCCTCCCCAGAAGATTTTTCCTATTTGTTTCCTTCTTTTCTTGGCTAAAATTCTGCCAGGGTTGGGGAACCTGCAGCCTAGAGGCCACATGTGGCCCCCAGGTCCTTGAGTGTGGCCTTTTGACTGAGTCCAAATCCTTGTATTAAGAGGATTTGTTCTGTGAAGTTTGGATTCAGTCAAAGGGCCACACTTGAGGACTTAGAGGGCCACAGGTGGCCTCAATGCAGCAGGTTCCCCACCCCTGTTCTAGACCTTCACTTTATTGCTACCCATTTATCTATACCTTGTATTCTGCCTTCTGTCTCCATTAGTCTATTGAAACTGCTCTTTCAGAGGTTACCAACTATCTAGACTACTAACTCTGATGTTTTTTCTTAGTCATCGTCTTTGACATTTGACCACTTATTCCTTTGCTTCTATGACACTACTTTTTCATCATTCTCAGCATTTAGCACAATGCCTGCCTGGCACATATAGGTACTTAATAAACACTTGCTGACTGACTGATTGATTCTCTTCCTACCAGTGTAACCACACCTATGACTCTGAATCTCAGCTGCCAAAAATCAAACTTCATTAGCCCTAGCTGTCCCATCTATCATCTTCATTTACCTCAGTCTTACCCCACCCCCACATCCCACTCCAGATCCTCCTACTTCTTCCATTGTGCCCTCTGGAAAGCCTTCCTAATTAACAAATTTCCTGTCACCATATATTACTTCCTTTCTTGCATCTTCCATCTTTAGGCACTCATTGAGGCCTGGCTCACACTTAATAACATTGCAACTCTGACTACCATTTCCAGTAATAGTTGTATGTACAATATTATGTAATACACAATTATGTAAACACAATAAGTTTTATTGTGTTTAGGTAAAAGGAAGACAGTATTGATGATGAGGTCATGAGATGCACAAGTCTTCAGTAGTAAGTGACTACTGCTGTTGTTTCCAATTCCAGTCCTCCCAAGGACTTCCTGCCATGTCTGGTAGTCTGAGCCTACTCTAGGATTAAAGTCAGAATTATAAGTTTATCCTTTTTGGGGACATTGATGAAAAGGGTCTCTAGGTCTTCCTAATTTTTCTTTGACCTCATCAGGGTTTGTTATGGTGGGAGCATTTTCCTATAAGTGGCAATCACATTGTCATGAGCCTGTCATTTACTCCTTTTGGTAGGCATATAAGTTTGTTGACTAGATTAGTTTTGATTGCAAAACCTACACCAGCTTCACTGTGACCACTCTGGCCTTCATTTGCCAGCTTTGTTTCACTCAAGGCTGCTATTTGGTTGTGATACCTACTGAGTTCTCTTGCAGTAAGAGGTGTTGGTCTTTCAGGTCTATTGGATTTTGTGTTTATAAGTGTGCACACATTCTATGTATCAATGGTGAGTAGAATCATCTTTGCAGAAGTTTTTGTACATTTTTTGTTTCATCCACAGGGTAGGATCCCACCTGCTGCAGTAATCAGGCCAGGGTTGGTAAGCAGACAATATTTAGGGTATCTTTTCTTGCCCCTTCTTCACACCAGAAGGTGAGCAGTGTGATCTTTAAAAGGCTGCTTAGACACCCAGGGGGCTGCTGAATCCCACTGCTGCTTCCAGTGAGAAGACAGCCCTAGGGCCTGGGCCACCTATATGCAGGGTTGTGACTACAGCTCCCAGCGTAACCGCACCTGCTGCTTTATTACTTGCCTGTTGCCACAGGACTTTGAGAGAGGTAAAAATGGTAAAATGGTACGGGTGATATCTTTTGATTTGTGCATAAATTGGATTTAAGTGAGGCAGAGTTGCACGAAGTCATTGGCCTCACTCTGTCTTCCAGAGTGATCACAGTCCAGTGGTAGGACAAAGTCAAGAGGACTGGTGATAGCTCTAGATGCAGTGGATAACCTAGGCGTCTTTGATGTCAAACCAAGCTCTAAGAGCTCCACAGCACCTGCTTCAGCTACCTTCATGGCTGTCGAGACAAATTGTTCTCATCCACCCATTCTGCCAGGGGAAATCTTCACATGTTTGAGGTAGACATACCACACCCCTAACTCACCGATGGGTTTGAGACCCTTTGGTTACTCTTAATCTGGTTTAGCCCATCTGCCAAAATGGTTTACCAGTGTGTGGCCACTGTTCATGCTATGGCTTCTTGGAGCCACAGGTGAGAGTTAGATGGATCAGGTGGACACCAGAGGTGGAAAGCAACCCTCACATCAGAGGTAGTAGTCTTCCCTGAGCACATCCCCCCCAACAGATAGATACAGAGATAGATATAGATATAGATATATCTTTCTCTATAATATTTCATGTATATCTCCTTTTCTCCATTCACACAACCACCACTGCCTCTTCCCCCCTCTAATCCATCCTCCACTTAGCTGCCAAAGTGATTTTCCTTAAGCATAAATTGACTATGTTACCCCTTTACTCAATAAACTCTAATGCTACCCAAGGCATCTAGGACCAAACATAAATTCTACTCTTTGTCATTTGAAGTTCTTTGGCCCTTTCCTATCATTCTATACTTGCAGTTCCTCACACATGGTGTTCCATCTCCCATCCCTATGCTCTTGCTGTCTGTCTCACGTGCCTGGAATGTTTTCCCTCTTCACCTCCAATTCTTACCTCTTCTTATGCAGACTGGTGGACCCCTACTCCCTAGGGTTTGCC